CCCCAAAACCCCAAAACCCCTCCTTTTCAATTTTCAGAATGTTTCAGTATAATAAAATACAGCCTTAAAAATATTACATATAAACAACCGAGTGTAAAATGTCATTATTTACTTAATTGTTTTCACATCTGAGGACAACTCTTAGTTCCTAAAATTAATGTGAGGCAGAGCAAAACGAAAATTAAGTGCCATCTTAAATTTAACCAGCCTAGAATTAGCATCAATAAAACCTAGATTATTAAGCTATAAAGCAGTAGTAGTTGACAAAGAAACAGAAAAAGTAAAATGAATTAGACTAATTAAGTAAAGAAGAAAATGAGTTCTTAAGCGACTAAAAGCGCAAGATTCTGCAATTCATTAAGAAGAACACTGACGATAGTAAATAGGTTAATGATGAGCGCCATAAGCTCAAACAGAATTACTATAAATAGTCAAATGATGCCAAGTACAAGCACAATATGGCTAAGAGGTCAAATGATTCCCAGAGAGGAGATTTCGTTAAAGCCACTGGCCAGTATTCAATTAGATTTTTGTTTTTGCGAACTGACGATGATGTTCTCTATTAGTACAAGAGAAAACTAAGAGCGAAGATATAATGGGATCTTTTGATAGAGTAACACTGGTGTGTTTTGGCAGGTGCAGCACTTTTTGGATTGACTAGATTGCTGAAGAAAAAAAGTTAGTTTGATGGGTTGTATTTTTTAGTCCCTTACACATTGGTGAACTATTGCTTCTTCGTAGAGCGTTTACACACTCTATATGAAATTGGATATCCCTCTCATCCTTTGATATTCCAAGCCAGAACCTAAGTTGTCAACAATATGTGCTATGCTTACCCTACGATATTAAAGAATGAAATTGAATATTTGCACTCTAAAATTCATGAGATTGACTCAGAAAAAGCTGAAGAGGAGCCAACGAAAAACAGATATGAGCGAGAGTTCACTGCAGGTAAGGGTGCAGCTTAGTCAAGATTTAAGATAATAGTTCAAGATGGAAAGATATACTTGAGTTGCATCGATAAGTTTGAAGACATCTTCGAGATCTCTAGAGAAATAGTGTCTGAGATGGAATTGACAGATATTCTAGATCCAGGTATGTTTGAGAATCACAAGGATATCACTAATGCTTTGTTTGACGTGTATCTCGACCTGGGAAAGGATTATATAAAGACAAAGTTTTAGCCAAGAAATGAAATGTAAAGAAAGGCACTGGAGAGGATATAAAATAAATATGGAGTTGATATCCAGGAATAGTTAAAAAGTTAAGTAGATAAAGATGGGCTAAAGGAGGCAACGGAACTTATAAAAAGTTTTGGGAAATGAATCAACTATCTATAATACGAAAGCTATTTATTTAAGCAATAGAAAATGAGGAAAACTCAAGTAATTAACAACATTCAAATTAAAATTCCATCGATATCTGCAAATATAACTTTCAGGGGTTTTGGGGTTTTGGGGTTTTGGGG